GAGCCATGCACTCCTCCAGCTTTGGTAGGGAAGATGGGAACGTACTTCCTCATGACAAGCAACAGAACAATAGACCATTGTAACTGGAAGGGACTTTTTGCCAGTCTTTAACTTCAGCCTCTTCATTTTATAGAAAGGGTAATGTTATCTCCAACCAGTTGGGTATCACAGAGGTAGGATGTGAGTCCAGCTCCCCTGACTACTCCCCTGTCTACGATTTCCTAACTATACGACGTGACCTCTCCTAAAAGAAAATGCAGAAATAGAGAAGTGCAGTGGGGCGGGGGTGCTGCTGCTCTTCCGGGGCGTCGTGTGGGGGCTGGACAAGCTGAGTGACTAGCCCTACCCGTGCACATCCTGAAGTGAGGGAGAGGGTGTAATGACACTTTCGAGGCACTCCAGGTTTGGGGAGGGAGCTTGGTGGCCATGGTGTAGGCAGCTCTCGCTGATGTCTTGCAGTCCCACTGGCCCCTTTTGCGGAACAGCTGGGAAGTGCTGCAGGGCTCTCCAAAGTGTCTCCCTCCCTCCCCCAGACCACTTTCTGGGGTCCCCGTGCCCCTGACAATGAGGGCATGGCTGGGAAACCTATTCACCCCCGATCCCTCTGACGTCATGCCATTTGTGGCTCTGAACCTGTCACACGGGAGGTGCGGAGCCTTCATAATGGCCCTTTTGTACGAAGAATACAATCTGGGAACCCTAGTGAGGGCTGGCAGCAGGCCCATCCATTTCCAAAAAGTGCAGCATTATGCATTCTTCCGTCCCAAGTTCTTTCTAACTTCCCTTCCCTCCACCCCATGGTTTCCTGGTTTACAGAGGACTTTCGAATAGGCCCTCGAGGAGGTCCCTCTGGGCATTGTAAGAGGTGGCCTGGGAGGCGGGCAGAGAAGGGCTGGGGAAGGGAGGCTCCTTCTACCCACTGTTCCTTCCAGGAACTGGGAGGGGAGAGCGGTGGGCCTGGGAGCAGGCGAAGGGAAGGAAAGCACAGTGGCAGAGGAGGGGGGGAGGAAACCAGAGGGGGAAACTGTTGAGAAGACAAGGAGATGAGTCTGGAGGAGTCACTGCCCAGAGAAGGAGAACGTGGGTGTTTTCTGGAGCCTGGCTCTGATCCTGGGGTGGAAGCATCCTATGAGTGGTGTGTGTGTCGGGGAGAAGCAGGAAACATTTCTGAAAGTTTAGCGCTCTAGGAGAGGTGACGACATCTCCAAAGGAGTCTCATCCCCCTCCTCATCAAAACAAAACGTAATAAACAACAGGGACAGCAGCAGCAGTAATAATATCAAACACTTGGATAGTGCTTGCGTGCCGGGATCATTACACGAATTAATGCACTTAATCCTCATAACAACCCTCTGAAGTGGAACTGTTAATATTATGATTCCTGTCGCACCCATGAGGAAGCTGAGGCACAGAAAAGCTCAGAAACTTGGCCAAGGTCACACAGCCAGTGAGGGGCCAAACCAGGATTCGAACCTATCATGCTCTGGATAAGGAAACTGAGGCTCAGCGAGGTAAAGGTTTGTTCAGGGGCTTCGGAGAGTCAGTATGGGAGCCAGGATTAAAAACAAGGTCCTTCTCTTGCTCTCTTTCTTTCTCTCTCTTTTTTTAAAATGAAAGTTTCTGTTCTATACAATTTTGAACCCAGACAAAAGTAGAAAGACCACAGTGGACACTCAACTCCTCACCACCCAGCTTTTGTTGTTATTGGCACAGGCACGATCTCCTTTCTTTCCTACCCTCCACTCGGTGCATTAATTTAAAGCAAGTCCCAGACATCATGTAATTTCATCCCTAAATACTGCAGAATTATCTCTAAGACTTAAAGATTCTTTACAAAAATTTCAAAAACATGCCCCCCCAACCACATTACCATTATTAAACCTACAAAAGTCACCATTAATCCCTTTTTATCATTAAATATAGAGATAGTGCTCAAATTTCCCTGGTTGTCTGATGAATGCTTTGTAATTTCGTAAATGGTCAGAATTGCTGCATTTTCTGGACTAACATGGCTCTAGCAAAAGGCTGCTTTCTTAGCCACAAAACATTGCACAAATGTTAGTTACTGGTGGAGCCCCTAGATTTGCCACCGAGCCAAGTTGGTTAGCGAAACCAGAACTTGGAACGTCCACCCAGAGCGATGACAAGTTGAGCCCCAAAGGGTATGAGCGTGTGGAACCATCTCGACAGCCTTCTTTCTATTGGTTTGCTCGAATCAGAGTCAATAAAACAAGGTCTACAAATTGCTTTGGTTGACAAATCTCTTA